TTTATAGTGATTTCTATTTACCAGTTATGTAGTCCGCATCAGACAGTTAACTAGCTTCAAACATTTACCATTTATAAATTATTTTTGATCAATTTTTTAAAGTTTCATTGCTACTGAAGTGTTAGCTAATCAACTGAAAATTGTTTTAAACTTCTATAAAGTAAACACCTCAACTCATATAATATAAGCCACAAATATTTTGGTGGATGTCATGCACTCTTTGTATTTGTTAAGTTTATATTTATTATTTATGAATTAATTAATATCTGGTGATTGAATGATTCCATTTCAAATTGAGTTTTCACTCAGAGGATCTTCTAAATTAGAAAAACTTCAAAGACAAGCGACTAAGTGAGTATCGTTTATCTAAAAAGTATAGTTTTCGCAAACCAAAAACAGAAAAAAGCTCGATGAAGCTTCTCAACGAATCACTATTGGTATGCTCTGTTACACAATGCACAGATGAACTACAAGAGTAAGAAATTTACGAGTGCTTACACTGACAGATGGCAACAAGTATGAAGTTGTAGATTCGTGATTTTCGACTTATCTGTGTAAATAGAGTTTATCGCAATGAACTTTCTCAACTTAAGACCTGTATTTGTGAACAGAATAGAACCTGGAAGATTTACAGAAAACATACAAATAAACAGGCATAACTTTCAGCCATTAGTAAATACTAAGTTCATCCATATGATTTTAGATATACAAATGTCAAATAACTTAGTGAGCAACATATGATGTAAAGCATAGACAGGAGTAATTTTTTATAAGATATGTCAAATATAAATGTTGAAATGGATAAACGTACTTGGAGATCGTAGAGATTACAATTTTATTAATAGAGACGATTCAAAGAATGAAGAAAACTTGTAAAATCTAGTGGTAACTTTTCTGACTACAGTTGTTGGCAACTTGGATCAGGATCTCTAGTTGAGTATCGGTTTCATTAGGGTTTGCAGAGATCCTTAAACAGTGGATGCCAACCAATATAAATTGGAAATCCATTACATTTTTACGACTAACTACAGTGTTTAGTAATTATGTCTTTCTTAGCTTAGTAGTTATAGTGATAAATTAATAAATAAAAGTCGTTGACTTCTATTTCAGAGGCTGCGGGTACCCGACCGTTGTTGCTACCTTGACGTGGTGGTCGGGCTTGCCTATCGTGATGAAGCAACCGACCTATACTGGCTGGAACAACCGTTCCTCAAGGTCCTACTATGTCAGATAGGTCAGCTGAAGAGCGGTAAGACTAAAAGCAACAAACCCAAGGTCCGAAGGCGAAGTTGTACTGCTGACTGTACAGAGATGTGACAGCAGTAAGGTGTTTCCTTCAAACAACCAGCATGACAGCGATGCTGCCTTCCCACAAGGAGGGGTGGGGTTAGAAAAGGTCGACCCTAAAAACGCACACCTCACCTTATCCCACGGATATCCGTTTCCGGCGGTAAGGTTTCAATAAGTACGGAGCTAACACAAAAATTGCCCATGAAAAGTTCGCGTGTGACCGACCTCAAGCAGTTGTCCCTTGGGCACTGCGGTCACGCTCCCAGGTCACTAAGACCACCTCTAATCCAATTTCCCTTTCAGACGCCTCCAGAACAACCCTTCCACGGTGTGAGCAACCGGGAAGTGATAACCGCCCTCATACCTCTAACAGCGCTCAAGACCACTGTATTCATAATCAACCTCCGTCTTCACTTTTTATTACTCCTCCTACATCGACTTTCAACTCTAAACTTCCTTTTTCGGCTTTCTCTTCAAATGTCACCATAGCCAACGATTCTAGTGCTCAAAACTCTGTCCCAGGTCTACTGAAACCTCGCTCCAAACTACACATTGGAGCCTTCAACGTACGAACCCTATGTCAAATCGGTCAGCAGGCTTCCTTGGCTAAAACCCTAGAATCTCTTTCCATTGATGTATGCTGTGTCTCCGAAACACGCATACAGGATTCCAGTGTGGTCATTCACTTGACCTCACCTCGGCAAAACGGAGAGCCAACGAGATACACCCTACGTGTATCTGGTGACCCGACGGCCAGCTCTCGTGGACTGGCAGGTGTAGGCATAACACTAAGCATGAGGGCGGAACAAGCACTGCTAGAGTTGATCCCCGTCAACAGTCGTCTATGTGCTGTTCGGCTAAACGGCTCCGTAAGAACTCGGAGGGATAGGGACACACGTCATTGCCTTTTTGTCGTTTCTGCCTACGCTCGCACTGACTGCAGCTCAGATGAAGTGAAAGATGAATTTTACATAAAGCTAAACGCTCAGACATAGTACTCGTAGGGGGCGACTTTAATGCTCAGATAGGTAGTTTAAACCAAACAGAAAGACATTTAGGTGGGTATTTTAGTATTCCGGCACAATGAACAGATAATGGTGATCGTCTGCTGCAACTGTGCTCAGACAGTCGTTTATTTTTAGCAAACACAAATTTTAAGCATAAGGAGAGACATCGTCTAACATGGCGACCGCCTGCACCAAACCAACGATGGACTCAAATAGACCGTATTGCCATCAGTCATCGTTGGAGAGGGTCGGTAGAAGATTTTCGCTCATTCTGGAGTACCTGCTTGGACTCCGACCACGCCCTAATACGGGGACGCATCTGTTTGCGCCTTACTGGACGCAAAAAAGCCACATTTAAAAGACCCATTAGAACTGAGTTGAGTAACGAGAAAACCAAAAATAGGTTCCAAGAACAACTGAGGTCACAATTAGGTAGTTCTGAAGACGAGGCTGACCCAGATGTTGCTTGGAAAGACATACAAGCAGCTGTGGAAACAGCAGTGACACCTATTAGCGACTTAAACCACAGAGTTACAAAGAACCAGTGGATTTCTTCAAAGTCTATCACACTGATGGATTCTCGCAAACTCGTCCCATCAGGTTCCGAACATGATGAAGAGCGACAACAAATCAGATCTAGGTTAAGAAAAAGTCTAAGAAACGACCGTGAGCAGTGATAAGTAATGAAAGCAAAAGAGATGGAAAAGGCGGCGACTATAGGGAACACAAGACAGCTTTACAGACTAATAAAATAAACTGGAATTAATAAGTCAAGTGTAAGTGAGATTATATGGGAAAAAGACGATACTCATCTGCTCTCAGTCCAGACGTTTAGAACGATGGGCGGAACATTTCAGAGAACAGTTCAACTGGCCTTCAGCTACTCTACAACTACGCTCCATTCCCAGACAGCGTGAATGGAACATTGAAGTAGGTCCCCCAACTCTTGCTGAAGTTCAAAACGCTATAACTAGTCTGAAACGAGGAAGGGCAGCTGGTCCAGATGAACTGGCTCCAGAGGTCTTTAAGGATGGTGGTCCAATTTTAGCGATTAGGTTGACTAATATTTTAGCTATGATCTGGGAGTTAGACGTTATCCCATCTAACTGGTCACAATCACTTATCATCCCAATATATAAGAAAGGGTCAAAATCATCCTGTGACAACCACAGAGGGATTAGTTTAACTAATATAATATCTAAAATACTAGCCTCGATAATTATCAGACGCCTAACTAAGACCCGTGAACTGCAAACACGAGAGAACCAAGCTGGCTTCAGACCTGTTCGTGGCTGCATCGACCACATATTCACCATTCGTCAGATTCTAGAACACAGGCATACTTATCGGTGTCCGACAATGGTGGTCTTTCTCGACTTAAAAGCAGCATTTGACTCTGTAGACCGCGAGATTCTGTGGCAGTGTCTGTCATTGAAAGGCGTACCCCAGAAGTACATAAACCTTGTGAAGGCTCTTTACTCGAACACTACTAGTCGACTCAGAGCTTATGGCGAACTGTCATCTACTTTTGCAACCTCAAGTGGTGTCCGTCAAGGCTGTCCACTTTCCCCATTTTTGTTTAACTTCATCATAGATCTACTGATGGAAATAACTTTCTCATCGACTAAGTTCTCGGGTATTGATCTCCTACCAGGAGGTCCACTTATCGACTTAGAATACGCAGATGACATAGTCCTGTTTGGTGAAGACGCTGACAAAATGCAGAGTCTTCTGGTAGCACTAAGCAACAATGCCATAATGTTTGGAATGCGCTTCTCTCCCTCTAAATGCAATTTGTTGCTTCAGGACTGGTCTGCGTCAACACCTGAACTAAGAATAGGGAGTGAAGTAGTCGAACGCGTTGACAACTTCACTTACCTTGGAAGTCTGATCAGCCCTAATGGGTTGGTGTCTGACGAAATCTCAACACGGATTCGAAAAGCTCGCTTGGCTTTTGTTAACTTACGTCACCTGTGGCGAAGGCGATATATCCGTCTATCACTAAAAGGACGAGTATACTGCGCGGCAGTCCGTTCTGTTTTAATTTACGGCTGCGAAACATGGCTATTAAGAGTAGAAGGTACTCGTAAGCTACTAGTATTTGACCACAGATGCCTTAGAAATATTGCTGGTGTCTGCTGGGATCACCGGGTAAGTAATAGTGAGGTTAGACACAGGGTATTAGGGAATGATGGTAAATCAGTTGATGAGGTTATGAATCTTCATCGACTGAGATGGTTGGGCCACGTGTTACGTATGCCTGAATACCGATTACCACGACGTGCAATCCTATCCGGTATTGGAGATGGTTGAAAGAAAGTTAGGGGCGGCCAAACCAAAACGTGGCATCAGTGCTTGAAGTCACTAACTTCTAGTCTAAGCCATGTTGGTAGATGCAGACTACTTGGTTGGGGTCCGTGTGACTTTCGTAACCAATGGTTGGAGACTCTTGGTGACATGGCTCAGAATCGATCACAATGGCGTCGGTGTATACACTCCCTGTCTTCCCTTAAACTAAGAGATTAAAATCGCTTCGTATCTTTCTTTCTATGAATTAATTCTCTTCCTGTACTGTATCCTTATTGCAATCTTTCTTTTATATATTACCACCTCTGAATTAACTACTTTAATCAATCCGGTGTCCATCTTGTTGTGTTAATGAGGTATGGCAACTTGGACCGATGCATATATGTGCCTGGTCCTACGTTGTAGCTGACTGACTGAAAGAGAATTGCTCAACATAGTGGTGAATGTTGTTCAGTGATTGGTGACCATACAGTAAAATTTCTCCTGACTCAAAAGCTTCAATGAACCTATAGAATAAGGATTTCTAACTCAGTAAGATAGTTTTGATGTTATTTTTCCTAAGCTAGATTACTTGTTAACCATAAACGATTACAGGAAACAAACTTATTAAATTCGTATCATGATCTATAAATCAACTTAATGAATGAAATAGCGTCACACTAGAACTTTGGCATTAGTGTTCTCAAGTCATTTTTATTGATTATTTTGCCAACTTAACATCTAATCACATGGCTATATAGTCTGTTCTCTAATGACATATATTTAAGCCTAAGAAAAATCTACCGAGTACTCGAAAATTAAGATCAATACTTTGTCAGACAAATGGAAAATATAAAACATCAATATAATACAAGAGATTGGATGATGTTAGTGAGATTATTATGGAACACATGCCCTAACGTAAATATACTACCATTTAGAAGTAGTAGAATACAGAACTAATTGTTTGATTATTTAAATTATTCACAGTAAAATTCAAAATATTTTTTTTCAGTGTATCTGTAATTAATTTTCTTCTCGTCAAAATGGGATTGTTTAAATGTATGTCCATGTTGAATAAAGTCAAGGTCGTATGCACCACGTCCCACAAATGAGATTACTGACAAAAACTTGAGATTGCCGTTGAATCTTGTGTTCTAATATTAGTTTTCTAAGTGAAAAAAGCCACCTTACATGTTATAAATGCAATACCCTACTTAATTACCTGATCAGCTATAAAACCTGATTAATAAGTAAAGTAATTACTACATATTGAAATAATTAATAAACAATCTGTGATTGTTATTGTAAACAATAGACTGAATATTTTGGTAATCCATGCAAGACTTGGGTTGTTATTAGATTGAACTGGTCTTTAAGAGTTACATCTGAAATGTCTGTTATATGAATTACAATTGTTAACCAACTTTAAAACAATTACACACAATTACTACAAGTAACGTTTTCTCACCTCAACAATGTAGTCATCTGCTTTCAATTGAATAGGTTTGCCATTAATCTTTATTTCGATTATTGGTAAATTGTGAATTTTATTGCAATCCACAATGTATTCATTATTAGATACTTGTATACTTCCAAGATATTTATTTATATTATTAATTTTTTCAGTTGGACCTGATATTAAAGCTGTACCCGTATCGATTAGTGCGGTACTTCCACTTAGACAAAATATTTTATCGTTGATTGATATACTTTCAACATTTTCAAGATGAAGTGAAAAAAATCTTAGCATTTGATAAAAGATTTCCATGATTAATAGATTTAAATATGTGTAAAAAATGCTTTTTTAAGTTTCAATCACTGTTTTTTGCATAATGAATTACTCATAAGAAATGCCATTAACCAAAAATGCTTTCCTTTTTGATTCTTTGCTCTTTTAAAGTTCTAATTTATGATCTATTTTCCAGTACATTACTAAAATAAAAGCGGTGAGACTATAGTTTGTGGTCAACTTTTGAGTGACACCAGAGTGACCTCTCGAAAATTCAGCAACCTAGTCGAGTCTAAAAACGGTTAAAATTAAAGTTAGGGTTTTCACCACAAAGTGACATCAGCTATAATTCCAAAATACTATTTAGCCATATGGATGAATGAATTTCGCGCCAAAACCCAAGACTCACTATCGTAAATGTGATTGGTTCGTACATAAATTATAGTCACCCAAGAAAAACATTTTCGTTGTTTCAATTTTCACTGATCTATCCAGTCAGTCTTTTGAGCAAAATGTTCCTCGGGACTGACTAGGTCTTATTGTCAAGAGCATAATATAGGGACGAGCTTAAAATAACTGTCACAAATTATCAGTCATTTCTTAACCAATCAGAAAACAGTCTTTGTAAATGAATAGTTTTTCGTACTGAAAATGATCATATTACAAACTACATAAATTTTACATATTTATAAATGGAAAAAAACACAAATTCTTTCTTATGGACATAGATTATCGGTTTTCTCAAATAATTATCAAGACCCAAATAGATTTTTATGAGTCCCAATATTGTCCTTGATTAGGGTTAAGGATTTAAGGTAAAGTTAGGGGTATAGGGTCAGTGTTTTTATCACAAATTGACATCAGTCATAAGTCCTCTGTCACCTTATGTGTGGATGAATTCCGCTCAAGAACAAAAGAGGCACTGTCTAATCCGTTCGTTCATAAACTTTAGTGCCATCAAGTTAGGATTTGTTTCAGGATTAGGGATTTAGGAAAAGTGGTGATTCTCCTATCATATGTAATCTAATCCGAAATTAACATTGTAAATTCGTATTAAAATATACTAAAATGGTTTATATATATGGTTATGTACTTTTCAGTAGCAGTCATAAAACACAGCACTCCGGTAGCCCCACCTTAGACTTTATTGTATTCAGTAGAAAGGGTACTTGGGGTGATGCTTGATGAAATCACTGTGATTTTTTATCTTAGATTCGAAATTTCTCCTAATGAGCTTGCTTATTTGAAAAGACATATTCATTAGGTAGAATTACTTTTTAAAAAAATCACTTACCCATCTATTTTAATCATCCAATATTCTTCACTTACAACGTCTGAATAAGTTAAATCACCAGTATAATATCTATCATCAATCCCACCAAACATTATTTCTCCACTAGTTGTCTTCTCTTCATTACTGATTGGTGAAATTAAAATCAACAAGCACAAAATCAATCATTCAAAGTACATCGAAAAATAAATTCTTTGAAGAAAAATTGAAGTATATCCATAATCAATCTGTACATATTAGTGCATTCATATATGAGCCCTCAAATGCCCTGGTATGGCTGAGAGTGGGGTGAGCCCTCCCTGCCTCTCGAAATGCTCTCACACGGTCATGCGTATACAGCCTCTGCCAGGGAAGTCCTACTCACTGCCTTCTCGTGGCGGGGGTGTTGTTTACAAAAATGAGAGGACGAATGGTGCACATGGGCTCCAGTATCCTGCAGGAACAAATGGCGTATGGACCAATCGTTGGTCACCGGCTTCCATGGGACTGCATCTCCTCACGATGCTCCACTGCCTTGTGGGTAAGACCTTTAGGTCAAAGGCTTGGGATGTGGCTCCCTAAGAAAACCACCTGCTTCGGTTTGAGCACCCGGGCAGTATCACAGCCCACACACACAGATATGGTGTGACGCATATATACTTGGTGCCCTCTTGTACCAATATTTATGTGTTCAAATAAATAAATAAATTCATATATGAAGTATACCGTTTGATTAAATGGAAAATGTACAAGTATGAAACACATTACTAAAGAAAATATGGTTATTTATTACGAAAAATTAGTATATATACAAATAAGTCCTCTCTATTATTTACTTGAATAAAAATGTGTATTATAAATTTTACTTCAGGATGCTAACTGAACTAATATTAAAACAAATAATCACTTAAAATTTCAAACCAAATAAACAATTCTTTTGGATTATCATTAACTTACAGATTTAAATAAACTGCAAATACAGGTTTATCTACTAATCGCTGTTCAATCATATTCAAAAATATAGGTGTTGGATTAGAATTTTGTGATCTTTGTTGAAATCCCATACCCATAATTCCATCAAAATGAAAATTTATAAATACTTGACCAGGTTGATGAGTAACTTCACCAAATGTTTGATTTACAATATTCAATGAACCGATCTAGATGATTATTATTTTTTAAAATAAAATAAATAATATATACATACTTACATGAACACAATCTGAACTTAAAAATCCTGATGCTATTCCAGTGCCGTATTGGACATAAAATAATTCACCATTCGGTTTGTAAGTTGAAGATTTCGAACTATCATACTTATGATGTACTTGACATGCTAAATCACTGGAATCACACATCTTAGATGGTATCCATAAATATGGTGATCCTGTGTCGAATATCACATAAAATGTTTGAGGTGGAGTCCCGATAGAAATTTCTCCATAATATTCAATCTAAAAATTTGATTGTAATAAATCGTATATCAGAAAGATAAAAGCCAAAAAAAAGAGATCCAAAAGAAAGTTCTCCTAAGTCGACTGTTAATTATGAACTTACATTTTGGTAATTTTCTAAATATTCAGTATATATTCCATTCTTTGATGATGTCAGTCTTTGGAACCATTTATTTTTGAATTGTTTGACTGATAAATTCCATTCAGGATAAGATAAGTTTAAATGAAGAGATGGATGTAATTGAATCCTGTACAATACAATAGAAAAACTTCATATATAAATTATGATAGTACTAACCTTGTAATCGATTCACTGTAAACAACGAAAGGTAGCAATAAAATGAAAACTTTAAACAAAATCATTCGTTACTTATTTAATGATTGTTGGAGTTCTTTACTTTTATTTTCGTTCGTTCGTTCGTTAATAAATACCCTATGAAATTATAACAAAATAAATTCATAGGTTATTCGCATGATGTAATTTATCAGCATAATAAAAAACTCATAGAGCAATACAACATTGGAATTAATTATATAGTTTAGCATTTATAAATCATTTCGATCTTTGGCCCCTGTTTTGTTTTTCTCTTTCTAGTTCATTTCTTAATTATTGCCTTTTATGTACTTTTAATAAACATGAAGATTTTAATTAATCTACAAACTATGGATCTTCTACTGTAAATAAATTAGTGATATAAAGCTTAGTTGAACAATTACATAATAATATTCTATTCAAAAGTTATAGCACTTAAGGTTAGTTACGTATATAGTGATCAGTAAGTAAGTAAGCTAAATTATTTACTATATATATTGATTTGTTTGGCTTTAAACCAGATTTATGTTATTCATAAGATTCGGTGATACTCTTTGTTCACTCAAATTGAAATATGTAGAGTAAGGTTCGAACCCATCACTTAGTGGTTGCAATTATTGATGACACTTAATTACTTACTTACTTACGCCTGTTACTCCTCGTGAAGGAGCATAGGCCACTCACCAGCATTCTCCATCCAACCCTGTCCTGGGCAATCCTTTCCAGCTCCTTCCAGTTCCTATTCATCCTTTTCATATGTGCTTCTATTTCCCGACGTAATGTGTTCTTTGACCTTTCTCTTTTCCACTTCCCTTCAGGATTCCAAGTTAGGGCTTGCATTGTGATGTAGTTTGATGGTTTGCGTATTGTATGTCCTGTCCATTTCCATCGTCTTTTCTTAATTTCTTCTTCAGCTGTAAGCTGGTTTGTTCTCTGCCATAGTAGGCTGTTGCTGATAATATACGGCCAATGGATGTTAAGTATCTCGTGTAGACAACTATTTATAAATACTTGTACCTTCTTGATGGTGGTTGTTGTAGTTCTCCAAGTTTCAGCTCCATACAGTAGAACTGCCTTGACGTTCATATTGAAGATTCTGACTTTGATATTGGTTGAAAGTTGTTTTGAGTTCCATATGTTCTTCAATTGTAGGACGAAGAGGCAACGACGAGTGTCCCTATCTTTTCGGATCCTTACTCTTCCGTTTATTCGGACAGCGCACAAGCGACTGTCTACTGGGATCCAGTCTAAGAGAGCTATTTTTGTCCTAGGACTCAATGCTATACATACACCAGCAAGGCCAAGAGAATCAGCATCAGCGCTTCCAGATACACGGAGCCTGAATCGAGATGGTTCTTTACTTTGATATGGTGAGGTCAAGTGAATGACACTACTCGGATTCTGTATACGCGTTTCAGAGATGCAGTATACATCGATGGCGCGAGATTCTAAAGTCCTAGCTAACGAAGCCTGTTGTCCTATTCGGCAGTGCTCGGACAATAAAAGCTCCTACATGTTGTTTAGAGCGTGGTTCCAGGAGACCGGGCATAACGTTTCACTACTCAAATCGTTTGCGAGGTGAAGGAAAATGAGAGGGGTTGATCGTGGAGATAAGTTATTAGGTGTAGAGAGAATTTGATTGTGAACAACTTGGTCTCCTGTGTTGTTACAGGTATGAGGACTGATGTCACTTCCCGGCTGCCCACATCGTGGAAGGGTATTTATTGAGGAGCCTGAAAATGAAGCAATGGAGATTAACTGTGTGGTTCCGTCTTCCTGACAATTTCTGTGATTTTCCTAAAATTATTTCCTGAGTTCACAATCCGTTCCACCCGATCATCATTGCTATCATCAGTAGCGTCTTGTGAACTGACACAATCTGACAAATGAGAAGTATCTAGACGTGTTGACAATAAATTCTTTTGGGGACTAGTTGCTAGTAGGTTAAGTGAACCCTAAATTAATCGACTATTCATTACCATCATCCAAAGATTAGTTCACCTCCTTGCTGGCTTTCCTGTTAGCTTTTCTGCTTGGTGAGGATTGAAGACAGCGTTCCTATAGGAATGCATAACAAAACTATCTCTAATTATAGAGCAGGCAAAGACATCTAGCGAACACATCACCTTATCGTATGCGATGACTATCTTTAAAATCCCAAATAATTTAAAGCTATTAGAAACAGGTGTTGCCCGTAAGCCAGCAAAATTATGGAAACCCAATGAAATATCAATAAAAGGAAACATTCTCGGCTTTTAATATTATAAATTTAATGACAAAAATGAGAACAGACTTACTAATATTAAATATCTGTCAAAATGATTCATATGAATACTTGCAGATTCCTAAAATAGCGTCATCCGAATCTCCTTAGAATAGAGGATGCCCCAACGGCATTAACCATTCTATGCGTATATATAGTGTGTAGATTTGATCGGAACGCGTAAGTAGAATTTCAATAGTATAAGGATAGTTTGGTTAACTTACTCATTTACATTCCTATGAATTGTATAAACACTCCGTATAACTAGACTAATCCATAATTTTTAACATAATAACAATATTATAAAATTGATGCTCATGACTTTCTACATCTGAGCTCTTAGTAAATGTTACCGTTGTGTTCAGTACATGCGGTGACATTCTACTAAGCGCCAAATGTAAAAATCATCAAAACGAAAAACAGAATAATGCCCATCAGCTAACTGATCCAACAATTTATATTTGTTTTAAATCTTATAGATTATTGGTGTCCTGTTATGATTGGACATTATAAAAACCTTGAAACCAATAGTGCTATCACGCTGAACATTGTTTACGATGACGTAATTGGAGTAATCGTAAACAGACAAATAATCAATTCTATCAAAATGAGTCATGTTTATCAATTAAATGTTAGATTCACCAATGATTTCCTATTGTATGAAATGATTATAAACTAATCACAATAGGTTGAACCCAAAAGGGTCAGAATGTCTAATACAATTAATCAATGATAATAACACCGTTTAGTCGATAATTCATATTATTTATCTGAAGGAGAAAAACTTTATTTCCCTACTCGTTTGTTTATCTGATTTTTCAGCAACCTATGGGGGAATTCAATACATTATCCTTTACTCTTCTTTACCTGTTTATTTTTCAACTATTTACCGATCAAGGTTGAAAATATAAGAAATTAGATTTACTGCAATAACTCGACTAAGGTCCTTTTTTAATTTATATATGTATGTTAACATGCAATCTTAAGCGGATATAAAGAAGTTGCATAATACTATTCAATTATTATTATTTCTTTATCTTACTTCAAGTTAGAATATTAGATCTCAAGGGAAAGTAGATGATCGTATAATTTAGTGTTAAAAGTAATCATAATTCAATCTCTATCATTTATTAATACAACACTCCAACAACTTTGGTTTGAAAGATCAGGTAATATATCTAGCAGACAAATAGTAAGTCTGACTAAAAGTAAAATGAATGAGTCTAGACTTGATTGAATGTTTAACTATGTGATTATTCAATCCTCTATAATTATAATTTACATAAGACGTAAATGTATTACTAGATAGAGTGCTTTGTGTTTATACGTTATTGATATGTAGGGTTGGAGTAATCACTATTGTCATATGATCTTCTTGGACAGATTCATGAGTTACAAGTTAAAAGGTTAAACCAAGAAAGACAATCAATATCAATGGAAGATCTAGATATAAATCAGGTGCTGGTGATATTGTTCAAAATGGCAATGAAAGCTCCGTGATTAGTTCATCTGGCTTTTTTTAAGAATATTAATTAGTGAATACACTTAAATCTCAGTATTATGTTCTCTTATTGACTCGAACTAAAATAAAATCAACTTGGGAATTCAGACAATTTCAAGTATTTGAAAACCTAATAGAAACTGGTCCGTGCAGTAATGAATATCAACAACTGGTAAATATTAACATCTGAGATGAATAATAAATTTCTCAAATATTTTTCAAGCCATTTACCGTTGTGATTCAATAGCTTGAATGCTAACTAGCTAATATGCAAAGTGACGAATACTCGGCTCAATCCAAAGTATAAAAATAGACAGTGTGTTGCAGATACACCCCGATGACGAGTCCTCAATACAGATAAGTTCCTTCGAATTGATTAATAAAATTATTCGAAAATAAAATATTTGGAAATATATGAACATAAAGTTGATTAATTAAATAAAATTATTAACTTCCAGAGGATGGACTATTAATTTTGTTGCTATAATCGGTACTTTAAGTATGATGACATCAGCTGTTAAATTTTATAGTCACTAAACCTCAGAGGGATCAGTGTAATAAGTGAATTCACTTAAACCTAGGATTTTTACTAGTTGCCACTTGCCATCAACATATAAATTCAATCATTGAGGAAGCCAATGTCTCCTGGTGGAATTTAAACCAAGTTATCTAGCTTTACAGTATAAGATGTTACTATTGACTTAATGAGTTCACAAATGACCTCTTGTAGGCATGAGATATTTTGCGACCAACCGAATTTGATCAGAACTAAAACACGAAGGAAAAATGAAATTAGCCACCAGCCAGTAATTAGTGAGTTGTGAGTCCACCCCCTAATTTGCTGTCTTTATTGGCTTAAAGATAAATTACTCGATATAATTCTTTAAATACAGTCATTTTTTTTCTTTGAGTTTTTGGATTTCCCATCACGAACTTTTTCTGATTCGATTAGACAGTGACTAATCATATTCTACTATCAGAAAAGTGTTTCAATATCCTAGTGTCACTGCAGAAAATTTGGAAAAATTAGGGAAAAGAAAGTCTAATTAGAATTCTCTCAAAACTGAGAAAAATTAGTCGTTAAAACTAGATATCACGAATAAAAAATAACTTGGCAAACTAATTGGACATCGTTGAAAAGTAGATTTTCACCGAATTGTTGAAACATTGATCTTGAATGATCGACTAGCCTGAGAGTTATGTATAATCATAATTTGAGTTCTTGTTCATTGACAAATACTACTATTTTGAATAATAAAAATGGGAAGATACAAGCCAAACAATACCGAGTGAATTTAAATTCACCCCATTGCACAAGCAAGTGGCTGTCAGGACTCAGTAGGTGGGTGGATAAAGCGATGGCGTTTGAAGCGAATGGTAGTGGGTTTCAGTCCCAGAGTGAACATC